GCGAGTCATTTGTTGGAGAATATGCTGACCGGCGGTCACATCACGTCAGAGCAGTGGCAGACATACAAACAGATCAGATCCGGTGATCTTATTTGCACAGAAAGTGACGGCCACTCGAGCGACGACTCGGATGACGGCCCGCAAGTGACCGATGCGTTGGCTTTAGGCGGGGATCCGATGGCCAGCANCTCTCTCTCTCCTATATTGCTGTATTAAATTAATTAAAACTTCTTATAATTACACAAATGATAGCATTAATAAATGATATTAAATGATATGAAATGATAACATGGTCATTTCACTTTTAATAGTATACATATTTACAGAATTGCATTATAAAAATTATAATTTATAAAACAAAATTCTCTCTCAAAACAATTAATGCCAAATCATAAGCGCCTGAATTGCGATAAATCAACGATAAATTATAAGCAATTTCTCTCTTCAAATCAAAAATATGTTTATGTTTAACATTAATATTGATGTCAGTGTTGAGGGCTCTCCTATAGAAATGGATGGCATTGTTCAAGAGTCCCAACTGATGGAAAGCGCGGCCGACGTTGTATAACGACTCCTGGCATTCGCCCCTCAGCTCGAGATAGAGGTCGAGAAAAGCGCACATTTGTATGACAATTGAGTGTCGATTACTCGTAAACTTTTGAGACGCCAAATGAACAAAAGCCAGACCCACAGAGAAGGCCGCGAACGGGTCTTTAGGACACTGTTTCAAAATGGCCACGTATTCGGCCAATGCGTGCTTATAACTGCCACTCATGAGGGCGTTGTGGCCATTAAAATAAGCCAATGCTATGTTCTCCGGGTTTTTGATGAAAAGTCTAATACAGAAGCGATTGTGTCGTAAGTCTTGATAAAACTGAGACATAACCGGACAGAAGATATTCCAGATCTGGTTGTTATCAATGTTTCGCATAATCAAAGCCTTAATCAATGGATAGGTGTAGAAGAGGTTCTTCGACACATAGCAACACATCAGTGCGTAATAATCAATGAGATCTTGTTTTGCGGCGAAAGCACTGCACGTATAGCCAGAGAATGCAATTCTAACCGCTTCTTCGGGGTCTCGTATTTTGTATAGTAAAACATTCAATAGTTTGACAAACACTTCAACCATAGTTTCAGAATCAATATTATCGCCGATATATTTATGATTAAGACTGTCATCAGTGAGACCCAAGTCTTTATGGACATCGCGTAAAGCCTCCAATCGAGTCCTATAGGATGAGGAGGAGATCATTGTGCAGAGCTGTCGACTGTGTCTCAAATATGTCATATCACTAGATAATAAAATTCTGGCAGCAATTGAGAAGTCAAACCAAAGCGCCTGTGAATACAACAAACGGCACCGCATTTGCAATAAATCCAAATCAATTTGAGTTTCGCTCTCGCATTGACTCGCGATTTCGAGCGCTTCCTTCTCTTTGCCGACACTAACCAACAGTTTTGAGAGCTTAAGTCTCGCGTGGAAGTGATTGGGCGCTAGTCTTACGACTGTTGAGTACGCGATAATTGACTGCTGAGTCTCTTTAGTCTTCTCTAAACATTCGGCAAATCGTAACCAAATGGACGCCTCGTTATAGGTCTCGGTGTCGACCAGACGTTGAACCAGAAGTTTAGCGTTTTCGTGTAAATCCATTTTCATGAACGCGTCCACAATATCTAAATATAAGTCTCCAATTGTTTCCGCGCTCTGCAGAAGAATCTCTTTGAGTAAATCGTGGACAGAAAGAAGACACCGAAGATTTATTAGCGTAACAATCAATTTGGCCCTCAAATCGATGGGTAACTCTAAATACTGCAGATGTATCGTAAGATCACATTTGCTCATAATATCACCACTTAATTCACTGCATTCTTGACCACAACTCATGAGACTTAGACCGCAGTATTTTTTAAAAGCCATCAAAACGCTAACGTATTGTTCGTTTGTAATCAAGAGTTCAATATAAAGATTCACTTCTTCTGAAGTGACGAATGAGTTGTGTTTCTCGAGCGCCGCTTCAATCACTTCTATGGCCGACAATATGTTTCCGTTATTGTATTGGATTTTAACAATATCTTTGGCTAATTGTAGGGCCAGTTCTCCGTCAGTGGGCTGAAGGGCTTTCATAAGGTTCTCGTAGGCGTCGAGCGCTCTCTTCATGTCGCCGACCTTCTCGTAGAGCTGACACCTTTCGAAATGAAGTTTTATATTTTCCGGAAATATTTTGATCGCTTTTGTATAACAACTGATCGCCAGTTTGCAAAAGCCTAACTCTGAGGCCATTTCAGCCACTTTTATCCATCCGTCGCCGTCTGACGGACACAAATATGCGGCGATCAGTAAGTATTGAAAAGTCTTGTTGTCGTCTCCCATCTCCTCGTATATCATAGCAAGCGTTTGGAAAGGTTCGGCACAATCGGGCGATTGTCGCACCACTTCCAGTGCCATTTTGATGGCCTCTTCGTGGTTCCCGCGCGCGAGCATCATATTCGCCTCGCCTACCAGTCCCTGGAGGTCACGGGGAAGGCGTCTCCGTTGTCGCCATCCGTGTCCACCGCCTTTGGATGGCGTCTCCTCTTTACTGGCCTTTGATTTCTTCTTACTCTTCGACGGCTTCTCCGCTGTCTTCTGACTCGACGGCGGTTCCAACGCTTTGGTGATGAGGTCGTCGTCGATCTTCTCCATAATGTCCGCCAATTCATTGAAACTGATCTTTCCGTCAATATATCTGACGGTAAGGTTTGAATCCCATTTCGATGGCATCGCTTCCGATCGCTCTTCAATATGGACGGGAGGGTCGGAAGTGCTGGCCATCGGATCCCCGCCTAAAGCCAACGCATCGGTCACTTGCGGGCCGTCATCCGAGTCGTCGCTCGAGTGGCCGTCACTTTCTGTGCAAATAAGATCACCGGATCTGATCTGTTTGTATGTCTGCCACTGCTCTGACGTGATGTGACCGCCGGTCAGCATATTCTCCAACAAATGACTCGCTTTTGACTTCTTGTCCGACATTTCCATCCATTCATTCAAACGTTAATTCAATTCAAACTTTAAATTAATTGTAAGTTTTTTGTTGTGTTTTTCCAAACAATACATGAAATCCTGTTTTGTGTCTCTGTTTTGAACACAATTTTACGACACGTTGTCTACGAATGACTCCTAAAGTGAAACGTGAGTCGAGTTTAGGAACAAAACGATTGAATGAATGAGTGATTCATTGGTTGAACCGTTTGTTTGACTGCCATTTGGGATCAGTTTGTGGTGACAATGGCTGACTCGGCGACCGCCAAACGAAAGGCCGACTCAATGGTGTTGGAGACGACCACCGCTTCGGATGCGTTCACTTACGAGGAATACGTTGCGAAAGACAACGAAAAGTTGAGACAAGAGTTGCGCGAAATGAAGGACTCGTTTGAGAGACAGAAGAGACAGAAAGAGAGGTTAGAGGAGAGGATCAGACATGAGATGGAGTTAAGGATGAAAGAGAAGAGAGACTCCGAAACGGTTTACACGAACCAAAGGCTCGAATTGGACAAAATGAAGAGAGAAAGAGTCACAATGGAGAACAAGTTGGCCCTCAAAGACACCGAATTGACCAAAATTAAGACCGCTTTGACCGCAAACAAGGCGTCCGACGACATGGAGTGCGACAAATGCGACTTCAAGACCAGATCCGAAGTGTCACAATGGAGAACAAGTTGGCCCTCAAAGACACCGAATTGACCAAAATTAAGACCGCTTTGACGGCAAACAAGGCCTCCGACGACATGGAGTGCGACAAATGCGACTTCAAGACCAGATCCGAAGTGTCGCTCATTCTGCACACCATTAACCACAAGCTGTCGCATCCGAACCAACGCCGACTCATTCTTCATCCCAATATGTTTAGCTCCCGAAACCCCAACTCTTCGTACCTCTATATGTGTCCCATTTGTGACGGAACCGCTCTCACCAGGAATGAGATCTATCCACACATTTACGTGAGTTTCCATCCAATTGTTTGCGATCTTCTTATTAACAAATGATTGTTTGCATTGATTAGCAAAACCACACTAAAGAGAAGGCATACAAATGCAATGAATGCGATATCTTCTTCACTCATATCGATTATCTCAAGACACACCACAAACACGAACACGAGAGGAACACTCGACTCAAGGCGGCCAACACTTCCGGCTACGAAATACCCAAAGAGCCGTTAATCACAACCGTATATAAGCCGTCGGCCAATAGAGGCACTCAGACTATGATACTGTCGGCCAACGGGACGCCCATCGAAGTGGCGACGAGTACTCCGGGAACCACTACTGGGAACACCTCTTTCGGGTATTCACCTTCGATGACGGCCGACGAGGTGTTGAAGTGTACGTTTCCGCACTGCTCTTTCACTACCAATAATAAACAGAAACTCGAGTTTCATTTGAGTGCTCACACGAACTCCAAGTATAAGGTATAACACATCACTTGTTATCCACTAATTATAACTCATTCATCTGTTGTCTGTCTGTCTGTCCCCCCAATAGTGTCCTTACTGTGCATATGTGGGCAATATATTGACTGATATCTATCGACACATTAAGAAGAGTACGAAACACGACGGGAAGAAAGTGTTTGAATGCAAATCACATCCGAGATGTGACTTCTCTATCGATTGCGAGAAGACATTTAAAGAGCATTTACGACTCAAACACTTCCGCGACGACACCTCCGATAAGGACATCGACGCTGTGGTGGAGGACCTCTTCGTCAATAAGCCAACCAATGGTAACGATTCCAACAAGTGATCGACGAGTCTTTTATGATGACATTTACTGTATTTTTACTTTTTTGAATAATTATGAGATATTTAGTGAAACACTTATGCATTACATTCATTATCATTAATATCAATGTATTTTACATTTTGAAATAAATCGAATTAAATAAAAAGCTTATGATTTATGAATAAAGGCTTTTAAAAAGTTTATTTAACTGTAAATATACTGTATTTGTCGATTAAATGTGTAATTGTAAGGCTTTGAGAGCTCATAAATCACATAATTAAGTCCATCTTAACTAAAAAAAGTGAAGGTTTATTTGAAATAATTCATTTGACTCACATTTTTGTCTCAAAATTGAGTTTAAATATAAAGATGATAGAATTTGTATACATTTTGTAGTTTTTTCTAAAAAATGCGCGAAAGGTATTACAGTATAACTGTATTAATAGGTATTATTAACGAAACGCTAATATATTTGTCATCAAATGGCAAATTCTGGAAATTTCTCAAAATTTGCCAAAATTGGGAAATTATGTAATATTATAATATTAATTATATATTTGACTTATTCTGACCGCTAAACCTAATGGTATATAATTCCCAATGTTTTTAATTAACTGTTTAATAAATAAATAGTGTTCTAAATACTAAAACATTTGAGATCAATAAGAATTGAAAAATGAAACGAAATATTACATCTAGTTTACAATAATTCATATTCAAAACATGTTTATTATTTTTGAAAGTAGTTTAACACAAAACGTTAGATATCATATCAAACTGCTCACCATGTCTAAAAGTGGGTGACAAACAAACTGTTAACTTTACGTAAATTGTATTTTTAATTACCGTAAATACAAGAATTTTTTAAATGAGATCTTTGTTTCACATTCTTGTTTACAGTAAAAAACGCTATGAATTTTGTTTGCTCTTAATTCAGACAATAATTTCAATGTTTAAACACATTTTGTTTGATTAGTCGTTGAATAATTTCAAACACATTGAATTAATAATACATTTTATATTATGTTATTTACAGTGAAAAAGTATTTTATAATTCAATTGATTTTTTATAAAATCATTTAAATATATTTTATTAAAAATATGTGTTATATTTTCAGGAATGTTATAAATTTATTAATTTTTATAGTATTTTTAAGTCAAAGAAAATGTTTATCAGAATTTGTATACGAATCAGAATTAAAAGATTTGGTGAGTTTTTAAATCCACATCAAATTAAATCAGATTTGAAGTATTTTTATTTGAATCGTTGAACATATATAACAATTTAAAAGTATAAAATTGGTAGCAAAAATTAAATTAATACTGTATATCAAAGTTTTCGGAAGCCTTATAAAATATTTGCTAAACAACTTTTACATTGTAACATTTTCAATAAATTTGCATTTCATTATGGTATATTTATTTAAACACAATTAAAATTATAGGAGAATTCAGTTAAACATCACTTGAAATTCAAGAAAAACATTACAACAGTTCCCAATGACTGTACGGATAGGGCTTCGGTTGAAATTGATTTTGTCTTCAAAGAAGACACCACTAATTCCAGCAAATATTATGCCATTTATGGAAACAAACAGTTTTACGTTGAAATCGATGGCATAACAAGAGATCACTTACCGATTGTTCACAGAGACACTCAACCGATGCCTATCGACAGTCTTTTCAAACGAAAGATGACCGGAAAGACGGCAATCAAAGAGTATAAATTTGTTGGTCCGCTATATCTTTACAAAATACCGGTTTGTATTGAAAATTGGGTGAAATTTAAACCAAAAGATATTTTTGTTTAAACGTTAGTTTCTTGCTTTCGCCTTTTATAGCATATTAACCAAAGTTAGTTCAGACCAACCCTACGGGAGTTGGCGACACGTATAGCGGCCCGAAACTGCCACAATTATCATCAGGTTCACTTACATACGGTTCACCAGGGTCATATCACGTGTCACACAGTCGATCAAATATGCTGATTGTTTTTCGAGGCAATTACTTTTGGCACTACGACTTCTGTACGACTTTTGTAACAATCATTTGATAATTTTAAGCCCTTTTAACTTAAAAACTATATAACATTAGCGGTTAATCGGACCACAAAACATCCGCCGCTCACCGATTGGGCGATTAAAGTGGAGGACAGGTTTGCCGACAGAAGAGGTGTTCGTTATTACTATCCGACGACTAAAAGGAGTAAATTATATCCAAACACCAAAAAGAGTACATTAAACGACTCTATGGTTGTTCCCACTTATATCGATGCTATCGTTCCCGGAATTAACAAATATAACAATTGTTTATATTTCTTTAAAGTATCCAATATTTAATGTTTTGCATAACATTTAGATTTTGAAAATTTATCATTTTGTATCCCTTTTAATAGGACGACAAGTTTGTGTGCTATGAATGGTATTCAAAGATCTCGACTCCAATGAATATAAGGCTACTTACCTTCAGTCTGCTGCTCTGGACCTTCTTCCGCTTCTAACTGCGTCGGAAAGTATAGTTTCCGAAGTAGATAAAATAGTGTTCATTTCGGTATAATATAAATAATTGATTAACAAATTAATTTAAGATATACTTGTAATCTAAACAACAGGTGATAAGCTTTGGTGTTTCCTATCGGATAGGTCTTCGTGTCACAGCTATCCAATGAAACTAACAGATCTTCACAAAGACTTTCCAATGAGTATAACCACAGCTTTTCAACACCAAAACTATATTTTTATTATCAAAGGATCGCTTTATTATAAGATTCCTGTCTCTAAATTTCCGGTAATTTCATATTTTATCTCAAAATCAATTATTAATACAAAACATGTTTTATACTGTTATGAAACTTAATGTTTGACAATACAGTTGAAGATGAGTGCAGTAGACTTGGAAGCAAAATATATATTCCAAGACCTGTTAGGCTGTGATGAAGGCATGTATACGAACTGGGGTTTCAATAACTACGAAGAATTCATCGATAAATTTGCAAAACGGATGCAAAACGAGAAATCTTTCTCTGAAGAAGTGACACATTTTAATCCAACCTTTTTAATCGTCACTTTCCTAATCCTATTTACCGGATGTACTCTTCTGTTAGTTGTTTGGTATTTCAGACCAAATTGGATCACAAAAGTGCTCAAAATAATTAAATCTCCGTTCAATTAATCTATTGTTTTCTCAATTAATTATTTATAAATAATTTGTAAGAATTTTGTTTAATTAATAATACTATTTATATAATGAAAAACTGTTTTAAAGTTGTTAATAAAAATTAAAACATCACACGGCGATTCTATGCTTTAAAAAATCCCATAGACTTAACATTAGTTCATAATTAAAGCAGTCTTAAAGTTACTTAAAAGTTACTTTAAAATGATTGAAACGGTGATAAAAAGTTATTTATTTTACATAAAAATTATAGAAATGAATGATTATTGTGTACGAGTCTTATGTAAAATTTTACGTTGAGTTCGAATATGAAACTTACAACTTGTTAGAATTTAGGAATACAATAAAATAGTTACCAAAAAGTTACTAAATGTGAGAACGTCTCAAAAGGTGTTAAAAAGGTGACATAAAACTCTCTCAAAATACTCGTAATTATGTATATATGGTGTATATATGGTGTGCCCCCAAACTTTCAAAGGGTTCTCCGCTTTCGGGAGAAAAAGTTATTTACCTTCAATATTCATAATCCATAGACTTAACATTAGTCCATAGGAATATCATTGCAATAGAATTAGCAGTCGCCTATAGACTTAACATTACCCATACACTTACAATAGCCCATAGATTCCACATTACACATAGATTTACTATTAGTCCCATAGACTTAGCATTATCCATGTTAAACCTATGTCATTATGGTTAAGAATTGCGGGTATATTAAAAGAATGATTGATTAGCTTTTAAGTATTTTCCAGTCAATAAATTTTTATATATTTATTTAGTTTTCAAAAAATGGTTACAAAATAATAGGAAAAAACGTTTTGTTTTTTTAAAATCACAATAATTTGAAAAATAGTAAATTAAAGGAATAATTGTCTACAAAATTAGTGAAAATTTAAGATAATTTAATTCGTATTTTAACCACAAATTTGGTTAATTTATTTTCAAATTAAAAATTTACACAAAAAAGTCAAAGAAATAATATTTAAAAATGATAATAATCTATAAATTTGTATGAATTGTCACATGAATGAAGTGATCCGTGTTTTTAGTCTTAAACGAAATGTTTGTTATTGTTATACAAAAGAAATCCAATACTTGTTTAAAACTGAAAGTGAATAATAATATTATGTTTGAAATTAAGAAGCGATAAGAAAATGAGTGAATCAGTCATTCGGCGGAAACTCTTTGCTTATTGTTTTCGTTGAGAAAGAGTTCTTCGAGAACGCCATCGAGAGCCGACTCGTCGACGTGGTGTCCGTAATGGTATTTCTTGAGGTGGTCTTTGAATGTGCGCTCGCAGTCCGACCCGTAGTCACACTTAACGCATTGAAATACATTGAGTCCCTCGTGTTTCTTACTCTTGAGAATGTGTCGCCGGATATCAACTAAAATGTTGCCAACGTATGCACAATACGGACACTTGTATTTAGACATCGTGTGAGCACTCATGTGGAACTGCAAGCGGTCACGACTCGGAGCTGTGAAACCACAGCCCGGATAAGTACAGTTCA